ATAGCCCATCTTTAACTAATTAAATCTATCCATCATGTTATCAATAAAGATTTTCTATCTTTCAGGATAAGTTCCTATTTGGACTGGAATTTAAAAATTCCAGTTTTAACAATCTAACCAGCATCTTGATCATTAATCCATAATTCCTTCTATATTTTTCGTTCAATGTCCTATAAAGTTTTCTTTTATTCAGAAATCATCTAAACTAAACATTTTTGACAGGTAAAAGCCTCTTTGTTTTTTCACTGTTTCATTTGGTAACGACTTATTGAATATGTTGCAATTTCAAATTAATGATGGTTTATTTTCCAGCAGGATAATATAACATATATTGAAGATGCAAGATGTACATATCGTATGGCCTCTGATTTAAGGTTTTTTTTAGATAATACCGCCTCTTAATTGTTGTAGCGATCCATCCTGTTCGTCAAAAATTGAGGATATTTTAATGAGGCTCCAAAAACAGAATGAAAGTACAACAAATTTTATAGTAAAAAGATTGATCTTTGGCATAATATTTTTTCATAATAAAAACAATTAAAATAAAAAAAAAAATAAAAATATTACCAAATACATTTTTTCAAAATAAAATAAAATAAAAATTACCAAAAACTTTTGTTAAAAAATTTGTAAAAAATTTCCTTTTTGAATATCCATTTGTATTTCTAAAACTATGCACCTATAATTAAATCAAAGCTGAATAAGAATGAATTGGTTTGTCAGCCATAATTACAAATAGAAGCCATCATATTTGGTTACCAAGCTGGATATTAATAAAACATTTCTAGCAACAATAGAATCCATCAACTTAAACCAAGCTGATGAATTGCATGACAAAAAATACAAATAACTTACCTTTTTCTCTTTCAAAATTGTAATTACCAAAAATAAAAATAAAAAACATATGGACTGGTCAGCGACAAAATTTTCAAAGTTTTTCTGGTCAAACTGTAACTGGTCTCAAACTTGAGATCATCTCCAATCATCCTGTTTACACTCCTCCTTGGTCTTCTGGACAGGAGTAGAGGCCAGTCCCTTGTTTCCTGTTTAGGATTGGGATCTCATTTTCTTCTAAAGTCTTTTCAGTCTCTTTGACTTCCATTCAAACCCTGCACCTTTGTGGCATCATCATTGCTTGGGGTAATTTGAAGAAAAAAATTAACCTATGGAAGCCACTAGGGTTCTTAGTACCAAATGTTTTTCATTGGAAGCTCCCACAATTAAGGGCATGTACCAGTCAAAGCTTAGCTAATACCTACATAGAAGCCATGCAGGTTCTTACCACAGAATCTTTTTTATCACTGCTTTACAATTAAGGCCTTATCCCAAACTAAGCTAACAATTATCTAATATTCAAACCCATTGCCTCCGCATGATGTCTTGCATCTTAGTGGCATTATCACCTTGTTTGAGGTGAATTGCTTAAAAAATAAATAAATAAATAAATAAAATAAAAGCTAATGGACATTTCTTTTAAATGCCAAGGCCCTTAAGATTGTAGGCAATCATGACTCTCCACATATTCCTATCTATGAATTACTACACATTTTGGGAAACGTAGTGGATTAGTCTCCACAGCTTGGAATTCAGATTTTTCTTCTTATCACTCAAGGCTGGAATAACCCAGTCTACCCTTCTAATCAACCCATAACTGGTGAAGAAGTGGGCTCATGCCTTTCCCAAGGACATTTCTGCAAAAGTGAATTCAACAGACTTGGCAGGCATTTGAACTTGGCTCACCAATCACAATACCTGCACCTCTTAGAAAAGCATATATATCATTGAAGATCACTGACAAGGCACTGCAATTAACATTTTTATTACATTTTTCATGCACATGTGCAAAACATTTCTTTTGGGGGCATAGAAATTGTAAAAATCGTCCAAATGATCTGTGGATCCAAGCACTTTCAGTTAATCTATTAACCGTTATCAAGAATGTTTGCTTTTGTTTGTGCGAATATGTAATTTTTATTTTTTAAGCAACAGAACTGTTTTAATTCTTGAACACCCTCAGCACATTCTAGCCATGTTCATAATTAATATTATTAAAAGTTGGCTCCTTTTTCTTTTTTTTGGCTTCAATTATTTTTAAGTGATTTCTGCTGTTGCTTTCTATAAATATGTTGCAGTTAGAGGTTGATAGGCTCCTGTGTATTTAAATGGGTCCTATTAGAGCTATGTTCAGAGATGTAAGTAAGTCTTCTTGATAGGCATGTAGTTGTATGCCCAATGTAATTATTATTCATGAATTTGTCTTAGTCAGAAATGCAGTTCTATAAATAATACATAAATAATATTGGTCCTATGTAGTTCGGACCTTGTTGGTGAGTCATTATTGCTGACAATGAGGTTGACCATTTTAAAATTTTTATAATAAATAATCGTATTTTTTTCTGGATAAAATTTCTAAGGGCAAATCCGTCTTTTTATAATTGACATCAATTTGATTTTTTATAGAAAATGTTAATGTTTTTTTTTTTTCTTTATATTTATCCTTACTATTGTTTAATTTAGAGAGAAATAATTTAACTTAATGGCTAATTAAGCTAATTAGCTGAAAGTGCTCAGATCTAAAGATCACCAGGACAGTTCTTACACACTATGTCCCAAACAGAAATCTCTTGTACACATGCAAGAAAAATATAATAAAAAAAGAAAAAACTTAATTGTAGTGCCTGGTGAGTCACCTTCAATAACACCTTTATAAAACAGGGACTACTGCCCAAATAAATAATTATATATATATATATATATATATATATATATATATATATATATATATATGGGTGTGTGTGTGTGTGTGTCAATTGCTGATACCCTGTGACAAGTAAACGGAATGATTCCCAAAAGGTTGGTCCTTGAAACTCTGCAATTGGTAACATCAATCAGCTGACAAACCTTTTACTTGTATTAAGTATCTAGTAAATTTGTTAATGAAGAGATTTTGCCATTAATTACATTAACTTTACTGATTAATTCTTTGTATGATTACCTCTTTATAATATATATATTGCACTATTTAATGTACGCATGAAAAGCTGATCGACAGTACAAAATTTCTGGAAAAACTACTATGACAATACTCTAATATTTGAACCATTTTGCCAATGTCACATTAACTGAAAAACACTTAAAACAAAAAAATTTGTAGATTTACCATATTACTATATTAAAAAAAAAACAAAAAAAAAAACAATGTTCTCACTTGAAATATTTAAAATACAACTAGTGTTGTGGCACTGCACATTCCAAAATTATGTAACCGTTAATAAATAACACATTTAAAAAAAGAAAAAAACATTTTTCAATCTATAATACATTTATTTCATCTTGGAGTTACCTGAAAAGGGTAAAATATTAAAGCCTGATGATGAAACTGTGAAAATTTTTCAAAAAGTACTAGCACAATTTTGAAACATCAAATCCATTTTACAATTTTAAACATAAAGATCACTTCATTCAACGAATGGTTAGTAGGTTAATGCTTTATTAAATTTGTTAGCGAAGAGATTTCTCCATTAATTACATTAACTTTACTGATTAATTCTTTGTATGATTACCTCTTTATAGTATATTATATATATATATGCATGTCAATTGCCAATACACTCTGACAAGTAGATGTAACGATTCCCAAAGGGTCCATCCATAAAACTCTACAATCAGTAACATCAATCAGCTGACAAACATTTTACTTGTATTATATATATATATATATAATATAATAAAGAATTGATGGATTTATTTCTAATTTAACATTTTTATTAATTCAAACATTATTATAGCGGATAGTTTGTATTTGAAATAGACTGCCCATTTTTATTCATTAAACAGTAAACTATAACAAAGATTTTAAGGTCACCTTGAATGGCATGTGTGGATAGTGTAACATACTTGCATATGCCATCCATGATGACTATGTCTTTGGGTGATGATTCTAACACGTAGAACTGTTGGAAGTCCTTGAAAACCCTGCCATTAGTTGACCTAGGCCTTGAGAATGAAATTGGGTAGACAAAAGCAATTGATGGTTGTGCTAGCAGACTTACAAATCATCATGACTCAAGGTTGGAGCATATTGGCTATTGTTTCATTAGGACTCAGTTTGTTGATTTCAGTTTCTGTCCTAATTCCAACTTGTTTGCCATATTCACTTTCACTCTCTTGCTCTTGTGAAAAGCATGAATCCATATTACTTTCCAGCAATAAATCAAATAGCAGGGTCAACTGGGCTCTTAGCCTTTGATGGCTTAAGAGAAGAACTATCATGAATTGCAAACCATGAAAAAGGCAACTGAAACCACTCCACTATCTTTTCCAAGAATGCATGACAATTTACTGATAAGAAAGAAAAATCTGTGGAGACCTATAATCATCTATGTCCTGAAGGTGCATGGCATTTAAAAGTAAGGAAAAGGCAATGGTAAACTACTACTATATAACTAAATAAAGAAGCCATGATAATTCATATATAGTAAGTGCTCAGATGGCAGCGAATATTGGACAATCATCTCTGAGATGAAGAGACTTGAATCAACAGTAATGTGGTCCTACAGAAAGATGCTGAGAATACCATAGACCAAACATGTGGGGAAAGACAAAGTTTTAGAGAAAATGGGAACAAAAAGGACACTTATATTTTGCATCAGGAAGAGGCAAAAATGAGAGAAAATGATTACTCACAAGACATATTGAAGGAAAGAAGGACAGTGGCAAACAACGATTAACTACCATGCAAGCTTGATTAAATGTATGGCAGAGCAAGATGCAGGAGAGAAAAAAAAAAAAAACAATTTATTAAGAGCTACAAAAACAGGAAGTTATGGAGAGGCATGATCACCTACATCTTGAAGGGATATGGCATATAGAAGAAGTGAAAGGAATCTGTGAAGATCTCTGATTACATATGTCCTAAAGGAATATGCTTTTTTGTAAAAAAGGCCTTTAATATCTTTTTCTGTCATTATTTTCGCTTCTTTCATGAGTCATACTTTTTTTTAGAACATGAAGATTGAGCTTGAAGAAAGACAGAAAGAAACAAACCAAAAAAGGAAGAGAAAGAAACAAACCAAAAAAAGAAACCAAAAAAAGAAAGAAAAAGAAGAGAAAGAAATAAACAAACCAAAAAGGAAGAGAGAGAGAAAAAAAACAAAAAAAAAAGAGAGAGAAAAAAACAAACCAAAAAGAAAGAGAGAAAAGAAACAAACCAAAAAAAGGAAGAGAGAGAAAAGAAACAAACCAAAAAGGAAGAGAGAGAGAGAAAAGAAACAAACCAAAAGGAAGAAGAGAGAGAAAGAAACAAAACTAAAAGGAAAGAGAGAGAGAAAGAAAACAAACCAAAAAAGGAAGAGAGAAAGAAAAAGGAAGAAAAAAAAAACCAAAAAGGAAGGAAGAGAGAGAGAGACCAAAAGGAAGAGAGAAAAGAAAAAAACCAAAAAGGAAGAGAGAGAGAAAGAAACAAACCAAAAAGGAAGAGAGAGAGAAAAAGAAACAAAAAAAAAAGGAAGAGAGAGAAAAAGAAAAAACCAAAAAGGAAGAGAGAGAGAGAAAAAAGAAAAACCAAAAAGGAAGAGAGAGAGAGAAAAAAACAAACCAAAAAGGAAGAGAGAGAGAGAAAGAAAAAGAAACCAAAAAAGAGAGAAGAGAGAAAGAAAGAAACCAAAAAAAAGAAGAGAGAGAGAGAAAGAAACAAACCAAAAGGAAGAGAGAGAGAGAGAAACAAAAAACCAAGAAAGAGAGAGAGAAAGAAACCAAAAAAAAGAGAGAACAAAGAGAAAGAAAAAAAAGGAAGAGAGAAAAAAGAAAAAAAAAAAGAAGAGAGAAAAAAAAATCAAAAGAAAGAGAGAGAAAGAAAAAGAAACCAAAAAAGGAAAAGAGAGAGAGAAAAAACAAAGAAAAAGAGAAGAGAAGAAAAACAAACCAAAAAAAAGAAAGAAACCAAAAAAGGAAGAGAAAAAGAGAAAAAAAAAAGAAACCAAAAGGAAGAGAGAAAGAAAAAGAAAAAAAAGAAGAGAGAGAGAAAAAAACAAACAAAAAGAGAGAGAGAGAGAAAGAAAAAAAGAAAAAAGAAGAGAGAGAAAGAAAAAAACAAAAAAAAGGAAGAGAGAGAGAAAAAAAAAGAAAAAAAAAAAGAAGAAAGAGAGAAAGAAACAAAAGAAAAAGAGAAGAGAGAGAGAGAAACAAACCAAAAAGAAAGAGAGAAGAAAGAAAAAAAGAAAAAGAGAGAGAAAAAGAAACAAACCAAAAAGGAAGAGAGAAAGAAAAACAAACCAAAAAGGAAGAGAGAGAGAAAACAAACCAAAAAGGAAGAGAGAGAAAAGAAACAAACCAAAAAGGAAGAGAGAGAAAAAAACAAAAAAAAAGGAAGAGAAAGAGAAAGAAACCAAAAAAAGAGAGAGAGAAAAAAACCAAAAGAATCTTTAAACCAAAAAAGAGAGAGAAAAAGAACAAACCAAAAAAGAGAGAGAAGAAAAGAAAAACCAAAAAGAGAGAGAGAAAAACAAACAAAAAAAAAAGAGAGAGAGAAAAAACCAAAAAGAAATTAAAAAAACCAAAAAAGGAAGAAAGAAAGAAAAAAAAAAAAGAGAGAAGAAAAATTCGCTCAAAAAGGAAGAAAGAGAAAAATTTGCTAAACCAAAAAGAGAGAGAGAGAAACAAATAAAAAAGAAAAAGATAGAAAAGAGAAAAAACAAACCAAAAAGGAAGAGAGAGAGAAAAGAAAAAATTAAGAGAAAAAAGAGAAGAATCAAAAAAAGAAACCAAAATTTTTCGAAGAAGAGAGAAAAAATAAAAAAAAAAAAATAGAAAGAGATGAAAAAAAAACAAACCAAAAATTTCTTTCAAGAGAGAGAAAAAAAATATTGAAAAAGAAGAATTTTTAAAGAAACAAAAAAAAAAGAGAGAAAAGAAATCCAAAATTAAAGGAAGAGAGAAAAACAATGTTAAAAAAAAAAAGAGAGATGAAAAAAACAAACCAAAAAATGAAATAGAGAGAGAAAGAAAGGACAAAATTTCATTATTAATATTAAAAAACAAAATAATGGTTGAAAGAAAGATAGATGTGGGTGATATAAATCTTAATATTTTTTTTATTTTCTATTTTTCTCGTTATAAAAGATTGGAAATCACTAATCAATTGAGAAAAAAAGAAAGATTTTTATTAACAAAGAGATAGGATTGGTGAAAAAAAAAAACATCAGAAACATTGACATAAATCATTTCCCTTTTTTTTTTTTTACAAAATTTATTATTGAGATTCTTTATTCAAATTTTTCCTCTATGTTAAGAAAGAACATTTATTTATTCAAATATTCTTTATATATATTAAAACATATAGAGAAAAATATCGAAAAAAAAAGAAAATTTAAAAAAGAAAGAGATTGATGTTGCAATTATTAGGAAATTAAATTTCATTTCCTTTAATTTACATAGAAAATAAATTTTTTTGAAACTAGAATATTTATCGTGTATATTTAAACAAATACAAATTATAAAATTGATTAAAGTATATAATCTTTTAAATAATCAAATTTTTCGAAAATGGAAAAAATTCAAAGATCTTTTTTTGAAAGAAAATCCTTTTAAACAAAATTTAAAAATTAATACAGAAAGAAAATATATTTTACAAAAAATAAAACACACTTGCACTGAAAACAAAATGTGTTTTCAATGTTTCAATTGCCAACTGAAAATTGTAAATTTGGACTATCCAGTTGTTTTTCACCAAAGATAATCTTTATTTTTGAAAAAATTAGAACCACTTCTTGTTTAAAAACTGAATTTGAAAAAAAAAAGGTGTTTTTCAAGATCAATTTCTGAATGCTACTGTTTACAAAGTTTAAATTGTTTGATACCAGTATTTATCTTCAATGTTTAAAATAAGTTACCTTGAAATTCAAAATTTTTTTTTTGATATTTGCATTTTTAATCAAAAGAAAAAAAAAAAAAAAATATCAAAAAATTTCAACATCATTGATTTATCCAAACATTAATATAATTATTTTTTAAATATATTTTTTTTTTTTTTGAATTCTGATAATTTCTAATTTGGGCTTAAAAAATTTTTTAAAATTGTTGGCATTTTTAATTGTACCAAATTTCAACTTAAATATTATTACAATAGTCTTTAAAAAATCTTTAATCTTAATGTAAAGAAAAATTTAAAATATTCAAATTTAAGGAATTTTTTTTAAATTTTGATATTCAATATAATCAAATATTATCTTTTTTATTTGGATGTTACCAATAGATTCTATAAAATTTGATTAAATAAATTTTTAAATTTTACCGATTTTTTCATAACTGATAAAATTTAATGAATTTAGTTTTTTACAAATTTTTGTTGGAATATTTGAGAATACACACACAAACAACAAAAACAAATTAACTTTAAATGGAAAATATCATTAATAGAATAAGAACTTATAAACCTGGATGACCCATGCTTTTATGCCTACTGAAAAATTTACACATTCAAGTAAAAATAAAAAAAAAAAAAAATTTTCAAAATTTATAAACAAGTCCGATTAAAGAAATAGGTTTAAAAACACAACCCAATCATTCGCTTAAAGTCCGTTTGATTAAGTTGTTCAAAAAAAAAAAAAAAAAAAAAAAACACCAAAAAGACTACCAGAACTTTCTTTTCAATAATTTAATTTTGTTAACATACTGTAATAAAAAAAAAAAAAAAAAACAAAAAAAAATATTATATTATTTTGAAACAACGTCAAATTTTTTTTTTTATTGTAATTCAAAAAAAACCCTAAAATATTACACGACTCCAAAAATTTTCTGAAAACTTTCATATATATTCCATCAAAGCAGCGACCTTTTGATAAAATGAAAAAAAAAAAAAAAACCCAGACCAAGACCTTAATTCAAAAATACTATTTAAAATATTCTCATAATCATAATTATTCCAAAACAATGTCTTTTTTTGAAACTGTTCTAACCAGTTTTTAAATTTTTTTTTCGAATTTTTAAAATAAATATTTATTTGTTTTCATCTATTGTAATTTTGTGTCGCGATTATATTTTGTTTTTTTCGATATTTTTTATATATATATATATATATATATATATATATATATATATATATATATATATATTCATCGAATAAAATAATCAAATATAGAAATAATCAGAAAGGATAAGAAAAGAAATTTTAAACGTTTATCAATCTAAAGGTTTTAATTTTTAAGATTCGTTATAGATAGAAAACAGAATCATTTGTATGTTTCGGTTTAATATATATTAATTTTGTTTTTTTTTTTTAAATTTCTTTTTTTCAATAAATATATCACGTGCATTAAAAATAGATGATTCTATAAAAATATAAGTTCGTAAAAAAAATAATGTCTAAAGCGAAGGCGGATGGTAATGCATATGTGTCTAATGGAGTTCTAATGCCTTCACAAATTTTGATTCAAATTTGCTAAGAGACAATGAAAATATTGATAAGTAAAAATAAAATTAGGAAAGAAATATACAATGGACTGTTTTTAAAAGAAAAGACCAAAAGTTAGATTATTTAAGAATGTTTTTGATAACCGCTAATGTTTTAGAAGCGTAAAATTATAGTTGGTAAAAATGGATCAAAGCAAAAGGGTAAAATTCCTTGAAAAATCTATTTTTTAATTACAAAAACAGGTACTAATTAAAAAAAAAAAAAAAAATATGAAAAATTAAAAAAAAGTTATAAAGCATCATTCCTGGTGGCCACGGACCAAATTTTTTTCGTAGAAACATCTTTGCCCTTTGATAATAAAAAATTATGTTATCAGACAATGCCGAAAAAATGAATTATTTGAGAAAATTTTCTTTTTCCTTGGAGACGGTTTATTGGCTGTCCCACTTACTATAATCTTTTTGGAGGCCATTTAAGAAAATAACCATCTTGATGTAATTCAGGGATAAACAACCTTATAATTTTGCTAGTTTAGTAGATAAAAAGAGTTCTGTCCGTTTGCGGCAGAAGAAGAAAAGAAAGAAAAGAAAGAAAGAAAAGGAAAAGAAAAGAGAAATTTTTTTTTTTTTGTTAAGCAAGATATTTTTTTTCCACGGCAAAGCCGCGGATTGTTCACGCCCGACTAAGACATCATTGGTCGAAAGTGATCACGTGACGCAAGGAGGAAATTGTCACCGGATAAATCTACCAAGACCTCATATGAGAGGCTTGATCATCTACGAAGAAGGCTGGGGAAAGCATCCAGAGTTAAGTATGAGAAGCTGACTGAAGAAGTGGGGAGTCCAACGCCCCTCAAAAGGTGGTGAAAAGTGGATAAGAAAAAGTTCCCAAAAAATGGAAAAAAGGGAAAATTCCTAACCAGAAATAAAAAAGTGGATAAAATTTAGAATTATCGAGGAACCCCGACGCCAACAAACCCATTGGTTTTGGTCGGCGTCCATATAAAAAAATTTGCAACAGGCAGAAATCAGTTTAGTTCAGGCAGAGTTCCAGAACCGAAGTTGGAACTCAAGTCGAAGTTAAACCGCCTCAACTAGCTGACCAAGATTCACGCAAAATTCGGACTCCTCTTCAACCCAAGAACAATTATTTTGAAGAGCGACTTAGATCCAGACCACCAAAATAAGTTTTTTTTTTCGACTTTCGTCCAAAGACACACCGAAAACCAATTTCTTAAAGAGCAAACAACTTGAAGCGTTAAAACTTGCCTAACGGAAAACAACGTGTCACAATCCATAGAACGGGTCGGGAGATAGACGCAGTCCTATGTATCCAACAACTAGACATAAAGTTTGTTATCCTTTTTTTTTGATACCTTGAACTTTTGAGTTTTCATTTTATTTTCTTTTATGCATATTTGTGTGGTATCACCCCCGTTTGAACCCAATTTGCATTACGGCCCCAACCACTGATTGATCTCGTCTGCCTAAGATCAATTCACAACGTGGGTAGGCAGACTGGAGATCAATGCAGTTACTTTGGTAACCAGGCGTTGGAAGCGAGTTGGAAACGACGAGGCTGATATCGAATCTAACCAGCTTCCCATCCGAATCACCAAAAGGTTAGAACGTCACATTTGGGTGCCGCGACCGATACCAAGCCAGTTGGTCGTCACAGGACGAGACAATACGACTGACGCGACAGGCGGACGTCACGTTTGGAGCGGCGACACCCGAACGGAGCAGCGAGGAGCGAGCGAAGGCTGTGTTTAGGGACGTCACAGCTGGCGCTGCGACAAGGACGTCACAAGTGTAGGATTATGAATTTTGTGTAATTTTTGTTGAAGGTAGTATTAGTAGTGTCTAGTTATTTGGCTTTGTGGTTTTTGTAAGCTAGTTTCTTTAACACTGAGGGTGGATTTTTTTTTTTTTTTTTTAAATATTTCTCTTCATTTAAGTATTCAGGGCGACATATTCGAAGAGTCCTGAAGTAGAATCACATTACTGGTCTA